GAAATTCGCTTCAGTTGGTTTTCCTCTCGGCTAAAGCGCTCAACTGTCAACGTCGATACTTTAATTAAAAGGTCATAGGTCGACGCGCATCATAATTACCAAAAGTGACAAAATTTCATAAATAATTTATTTAGAAATAAATTAATATTAATGCTGTCGGCCCTCCTGCCTAACTGCCTCACTGGCTAACTTGCAGGGGTAGTCAAATCTGCCTCCTTCATTGTTCTTCAACCGCTGACGTCTAGTCTGCAGAGTGTTAAAGGCAGAAAGAGAGAGCTCTGTGCTTTATACTCATTATGACTGAACTGGATTGACTTGGAATAGCAGTTTGCCTGGTAAACTGGCATTAAAAGGATTTCACCATGCCTCGCTACGCCCCGCCATTATATACATTTGACACTAATGACAGATATTGCTTTGAGTTTTTCGGGGGAAAATCTGTGAATCTGTACATTAAATATGCCCCAAATGCAAAATAGTTGCGCCTGAAAAGTTGTAGAGTTCAAAGCGCGCTCTAATGCTGATGAATGGCCGTCTCTGGAGTTTGATAAGCCACGTCGAATGTTTAATGGAACTGAAAGCTGATTGTACCCTAAACCCCAACCCCAACCCCAACCCAACCTAACCCCAACCGACTTCTATAGTGTTCTCCCGTTGCGAAACTTTGCACTGACACTTTCCGGGTTGACTCGTGGTTTCAACTGTTTTGGCTACGTTGGCAACTTTGCATGCGGTTTGTCTTTGGCTTTGGACACCGTTCTCTGTTGACACCCTCAACTCGACTATTCATCTATTTCCCACCCTTGCCGCAAATGAATTGCCGGCCAGTTGCAATTGCTGCACTTGATTTGCGGTACGACTTGATGGTTAACTATTATACAACTGTTGTTTGTCAACTCGACTCGACGACGTCACTTTCAACTTTGTTCAAACTGTGACCAACTCTCAGTCGACACGCTTAAGCAAAACGCATTTGAGGTTCTTCCAACAATTATTTAACTACAATTAAAAATGAGTAAATGCTCTAAAAATTAATCATCGTTTCTGTATAAATATAGCTACTTAGTTAGTAATTGTAAGTCCACTAAACGAAAACAATAAAATTGTAGTCTGAACGAAAAAAATATATTAAAAGCTAATTTTTTAATATAAATAATTTATAGTTAAATACGCGATAAATAGCAGACGTACGTCTTAAATAAATATTTAGCTGAAAATGGAAAATCAAATAAATTAATCTGTAAGAAAATACACTCTTCTCGTCATTCTTATTTAATTTTAAATGTGATTATGCTTCGCATTTGATTAGAGATTGAGATTTCGAACTCTTCCACTATCTTGAAGTTTCACATCAATCATCTTCTGTCACGCCTGCTGTATTTAGCGTCTTAAGTATGTGACAATTTTTTAAATTTAATTCATACTTTCCAAATGTCGAATAAATGTCTCTATATATAGGGAGAACACTCTTTTTGTTGTTCCTACATACATTTTATACTTATTTTAAAATCTAATTACGTTTCTCGCTTCCTCTTGAGCTGAGATTGGGTCTTCGCACTCTTCCACTTTCTTGAAGTTTCACATCAATCAACTTCTGTCACGCCTGCTGATTCATTTATCAATTAAACGTAATTGGGATTTTTTTCATTTACTGCCGAGCATCTTCTAGGCATCTCTTGTTGTTGGCTAATTAATAGCAGCCGTCTAGCTGGAAAAATTTTACCGCTAAAAATTGATGGGGCGTGGCTCATTAACCTATTGCTGCAATGGGTCTCCAGGGTTCGTTAGGAGCTAATTGCGCTTCGTTTCCATTTGCAAAGCTGTCAATCGAAATTTTACCAATTTTTTTTTATTTATGTTAATTTTATTTTATTTCGCTTCTGGCAGTTTTTTTTTAAATTTTTTTTTTTATTTTTGTGCTGCTGACGATTTTAGAATAAGGTTGCGCTCAATTGCTTTTGTAATCAATCAAAGTCGGAGCGAGCAGTCAGCCATATAGAGAGATAGAGTGAGGGAGCCAAAGAGGGGCGGTGGGTGTGTAAGTGAAAGGGCTTTAAGCTGCGCTTCCAAATGCAGCCAACTCATCTCGAAGAACCAGTTGCCGGTTTCGCCAGCTATTGGCTAAAAACCATGATTGTCATCATGTGAGTTGCGTGCTTCATTGGTGTGCGTGGTGTTGAAGTGACACTTGAGCGACACTTGACGCCCGATAATTGATATTGTCCCAGAGGAACAGGGTGGCCCGAGGACAGGATTTATAAGGAGCCAAGTATCCGCCTGGCGACAAGATGCTTGTAATTATCGCTGACACATACATAAATCGCTGTGGTCTGCAAGCTGCGCGTTTCTCAATGCCCTCAATGAATCAATGTCATCGAAATTTACATATTTTTTATACGCCTTAAGAGCCAACTACAACACAGTCAACATATAATACAAAATATATATGTACTTTTTATATCAAACATTATAGAACGTGAATTTTCAATAAAGGAAAAAGGGAGTATTTCAACTATGATGCTTTTATACTGCGCGTATCATTAATCAGCTGGACAACAGTAGACTAAATAGAGTCCATAGTTCCCTTTAGGACGCAGATATTTATTTATCAACTATATTATTATTATTATTATTATAATATAGGAACAGATTTAATTAATGGATAATATTTAAGCAATATAAATATTTTGATTTTGGTTAATAGATTGTTTTTGACTTGCTTTTTAAAGCATACTCATTCTACTGAGCTTACGAATTGAAAGCATTTCACGCAATTGGAGTCCTATTAATTTAGTCCCAAATCGCTCCATGCTCGATTAATTTGAATAGAAAAAATGCTGTTGAGCATTTGCTGACATAATGAACGTTAATTGCATGCTTTTTGTTAGATGCCTAATGCTGCTTGGCAGCTTTAAAACGCAACGATATTAGACACAACGGTAAACAGTCTTATAAACTGCTAGCAGCACACACTCGCACACACACATCCACACACGCACATGTACTTATGTGTGTGGGTGTGTGTAAGAGCCCGGTCATTTAGTGCACAGCTTCTGGTAGTAGTACCTGCCTTTTGCTTTACTTTTAATTACCAACTCAAATTACATGGCCAGACACACATACACAATGGGGCACACAAGCACACACACACACATACAGACACACACATATATATACATTTGGTCGCTATTTTGCAACAGGGAACACACAAAAACGTTGGAACAGCTGTTTGGCTTGTACTTGGCAACGACTACAGAAGAGACGATGAAGGAGATGTGAATACAGAGACGGCAATGGAGATGGAGCTGGAGATGGCATAGAGATGGCAGAGCATGAGCAGGGGGAGCAATGGGGAGCAGTGGGGGGCAGACGGAAGCAGAACCGCAGAACTAAACTTCAGTAGTCGCCATCGTTTGCTGCACATTTCATTACAATGCCATTGTATTCAAATCCTATTATAAAACGCAAGAGCACTGCATGGAGAACAGAAGACCGGTGTGCTGGTGGAAGAGAGGGGGAAGTGGAGGGTATTGGTCTCAGGGGTATGGTAATGTTGCAGCAGCAGAGAAGTTCGTGTTTGCAGCACGTTTCCACTTTCGCACTTGGTAAACATAAGTTGCCCACGCACACAGCTCAACAGGGGGTGTTGCTGGTGCGGGTGCGGGTGCGGGTGCGGGTGCTGGTGCTATTGCTATTGCTGGGTAGGATGAAGGGTTTGGGGTAACTGGTGGTAACGGAACTGGATACTGGAGACTAGAAGGCAGTCTGCAACACTCCATAAAATAATTACCAACACCAACGCAGCAGCAGCAGCCGCCGCATAGCGAAACTGGTAAGAAAAGGCAATGGCTAACAAGTGAGAACGTTGCAGTTAGGCCAATCCGACTAAGGAATACTCTAATAACAGCATAATGACAGCTGATCATACCTAAAAAATTAGTCAGACTGTCATTGATATAGCTGTTAAATTCGGTGACTCTAGCTCTACAATAAGGCAGTTGCAGGCGAAGCTCTTTCCGCAGTTCTTGAGACCAGGAGTGGGCGTGGCCTGCATATTTCCACCTTTTAAGATTGGTGACTCTAGGTCAAAAATATGTATGTAAGCGTATATAGGATTTCTTAGTGGGTGGATTACGCCCTTGAAGGAACATTTGGCGACACTGGCTTTGAAATCGAGGCAGGTACATGTTTATATCGATTTGCACTCATCGATGTTATCGATCCGCCTTCCCCAGCGAATGTACCTTTTATACAAGTCTTACTAAAGCCCTGCGGACATTGCACAAAGCCAATATACTCCTCTAGCTTCAGAGCAGAGCAGAAGAGGCGATTCAAAGCCAGCATGAAAATGGAACGAGTTTAACCCAATAGTTTTGGTATTTATATATGCTAATCTAATTTAAAAGCATTTCCTACATAATTGCGCTACATTCCAAAACTGATAAAAGATATGTATCCCCAATCCATAACCAACAATTTCGTAATAAATATGTACATTTTTATATTTCTCGGTGAAAACTAATGAAAAGTTAAAAAAAAACTAAAAAACTACCGCAGGAACTCCCTGCAGAGAATGCACATTTTTTATCGCCTGATTTAAAAAAAAGTCTCCGTTAGAATGTGGTGCTTTCTGGGGTTAATTGTTCAGGTAAATCCAGTGGGCAAACTGCATAACTGGACGAAATTATTCTGTAAGTCAGTCCGAAAGAAATTAAGGCACAAAATACATATTTGCAGGCTGAGTAAAATATGAAATAAGTAAAGTGTAAAATGTAAAATATTAATTTTCAGAATGCAAAAAAAGAAGTCTGACAACGAAAGAGCTTCAACAACAGCAACACCAACTTAGTCCACTAATAAAAATATAAACCAAAAATGCATTTTCAACTATTTTATTCTCAGCAGTTTTAATCCTCGACGGGTTGCAAGCTAGAAATCTATAAATTGTGGTTTAAACATTAAAAAAATCAGTCATTTATATTTATTCACAAACAACAATAAAAATTGACAAAATAATTTATTGAGGAAATGTTAATTTCGAATTTGGAATGTAAAATCAGAGATTTATAAGGCCCAAATGTATTCAGTATCAAGTAAAGCAGGCAATAGGAAATAAGACTTGGAAATTTCCACAATTCAATTTTTATATGCATATTTTGTAAAACTACGCTTAACTATTTAAAGGAATGCATTTAGGGAATGATATGCATTAGATGTGGTTCTGACAGTGACTTAATCGATATCCTGCTGCTTTTCGCCAGCAGTCACTTCGCTCTCATCCAGTGTGACGCCCTGCATCTCAATGTAGCGCTTTTTGCTCTGGGTTGACCAGGGCCTAATCCATGGCAGCGACATAAGCATCATTATTTGCGAAGGTATACACTTGCAGGACAAGAGGGAGATCACATCCTCTTGCCTTCCATCGAGTGGAGTATCTCTTGACTCGTGCAGCTCCGCTAATGAGATTTTGGGTTCGGCAGGCAGCTGCAGATGCTCCTCGCACAACATGGAGAGCAGCAGGTGCTCGACGAAGAGGGCATGCTGCTGTCGTTGCCTATTGTTCCGCGGATCAGCTTGCTCCAGTTTCGCATGCTGCTCCATCATCCACTGCTGCAATAGATAGCGATCCGCATCCGAGCTCTCAACAGCTAACTGAGACGCTTCTGGGTCAGCTTCAGCATCGCCACTGGTGATAGCCAGCGTGGTGGTCGGCCGTAAGCGTGGATCCGCCTCCGGATAACTGTTCGGCTCTGGACGCAGGCGCCGCAACTCGGACAGCTGATAGGTTATATGGTTGGCCGCGATGCGGCTGCTGTTGTGTGTTGCCAAGTTGCCCATCTGATACGCGTCACTCGATGACGATGGTGGAGGAAGGGGCTGTTGGCGTCGACAGCGCCGGACGAGTCGCGCCAACGCGTGCCGCAGCGGCGGCGTATGGGGATCGAGTAGATTCGCATGCTCAATGTGATTGAGGAGCAGGTGGCGGGCCAGATTGCGTATGGCGACCAGCTGAATGCCGGGCAGGCCGGCGCACATGGGACAGACGACATGTCCATCGTCCTGGCGATGCATGGTTATCACATGATCGATCAGCTCCTTGGCCGTATGGCCAAAGATGCCGCAGTAGGGGCACGTATAGCAATTGGGCAAGTGCATCAGCTCAAGCAGTTCGCCATTGGGCAATAGATCGGCCAGCTGATGGTCGTGGAGGAGCTGCATGGGATGCTCGAAGCGATGATTCAGTGTCTCCACATTATGGTCGTAGCACTCAAGGCACAGGTCATAGTTCACGCAGCGCAAACAGTGAAATCGTCGTCCATGGAGATTATGTGTTTGACAGCCATCGCAGCAGAAATCTCGATGGCCCATCGATTATTTCTGATAAAAATCGAATAATTCTAATCTGGAATGTATTTGTTTTGTTTGTTGTTTGTTGTTCGACTAGGAAATTCAGAAAATCAGTTCGAAAAGTGTCTTGGCAATGCGTTTTGAATTTCTATCTTATAAAATCAGATGACAGACATCAAAAATCTTATGTGACACACAATGCTTTTCCAAGAAAAATAGTTATTTAAATTTAAAAATATTTATTCAATTTGTATTCACGAAATAGTATAAATATATTTTAACTTTTTTTTATGAATATTTATATATTATGGAAAACAGGTTTTTCATGTTTTTCTATTGCAATAAATGTTGACCCATTTTATATATTTATAACTCCAGATATTTTATGTTTTACATTTTATTAGAATTGTTTCAATATTTATAAATTGTATTCGTTTAATTTAAAACCAATTATTATTAATAAATTAATTTTTTTTTAATGTCTGGTAAACTTTTATTAATAAACATTTATTATGGATACTAGCCATGTTTCAAAGCCCTTCGTGATGGGTCAATTAAAACCAGAAAGTTGTTGTTCTGGTTGAAGTTCATTTTGTTCCAAAGTTGACTGCTCGCAAATATCTTATGCTATTGTAGCCATCGGGTCCATTTATTTTTTTTATTTTTACGCACAGCTTCCGTTTTATTTAATTTTTGTATTTTTGTTGTTGTTAATTTCTAATTAAATTCACTTATAAATACTTTATCTGTATACTACACTCTGTATGTTAGGAGCATAAGTTGTTGAGCTTATTTGCTCATCAGCGAGGAGCACTCATCCTCTCCCTCCACCTTTTGGCCATTCTAAGTGCTTATGCGTATGTCTGTCTCAGTTTGGTGTTCAACTTTGTTTAACTTTGGAGCTGCGTTAAAATATTTTAATTACTTCATTGCCGGCAGCGTTAAAAAAGTTTATTGTTGCATCATAATATCCTGTCGTTGGCGCCTGCCACAAGCAGCAGCAGCAGCAGCAGCAGCGGCACATAACAAGAGCCACTAAGTGAGTGGCTATTTATAAAAAAACGTTAGGATTAGTACAGAGAGAGCTGAGATATTAGTATAATCCACGGATATATATTTAGATATAAGAGAAAATGTCCATGACACAACTTTTAAGCCGGACTGACTATGTGATTTCCTCAGAAATCTCAACTATTCCTTTCCATATTTCCATCTCAACCAGGGAAGTGTGGATAAATGATCCTATGGACATATTTACACAGATGGCTCAAAATAAGTCGGTAGAGCTGCAGGCTGAGCCAACTCTGAGTATCTATATTGAAACTATTGCTAAGCAATGCATCACCTCATCTCTCATTTGTGAGAGGAATGCTGTTGAAATTCCCATGGCGAGAGAACTTCAATATTATTATTATTGTTCCATCAATGTAAACAAAGTATTTACTATATACTACTTTAAAAAAAAATACTCAGAGTAAGTTGTGCCACGAGGTTCGCTCTGTAAACCATTAATTTCAATATTTAATGCAACCATCTAAACCCGCAAAGCAAATCAGGCCACAACAAGAAAACAAATCGTTAGCATTAAAAACTCAACTCGCTGTCGCTACACTGACAAATGCGAATTGCGAATGCGGATTGTACTGCTACAAATGCTAAATCCTTTACAAAACTGTGCAACATCTTCTTACATTTTAAGGGGCAACGCTTTTAATTAGCTCGCACAGCTCGTGGCACAGTCAGGACACCCCACAACCCCCACGCACTACTCCGCCACAATGACTTGAAAGGATTTATGCAAACGCATCAGCTGCGTGAAATTATTCGAAAGCTCTTTTCTCTTATTACTCTTACTACCATTTACCACTAGCATTATGGCCGGGGTTTGCAATAGTCAAAATCGAGCAATTCCATAAGTCCGCTCATCAATCTAGTACAGCTTACGAGTCTGCCGTCTTCTGCTGTGAGTACGCGAATAATTTTGATGTGGAATAGGGGAGTGTGAAACGGAGAGGTGGATACATTAAATTGGGTCGATGAACTTAACAAATTAAAGAGCAATGATTATTCGTTTGATTTCATACTACATTAAATTAAAAAATCGCCTTGCTTCTGGCGCCAAGGAAATCTCAGCTTCAGAAAGTAAATTTCTAAAACGGAATGTTTTGTGTTTTTACAACCATCGTTTTCATGTAATTTAGAAAAAATGTATATAATTTTCACTTTTTGTATTTATAAAAATTAAAAGACTTACGAGGTCCGAATTTCAGATTTTATTTTTTCTTAAAATAATTTAAATATAATTTTATAGGTTTTTGAAATATTTTCCATAATTAAGCCTTTTTAATCTTGAGAATTTGTTTTTTAAAAACAAGGTAAACTTTCTAATTTTTAGAGCGTTTTTTTTAAATTAAGTGGGAATGTGTTGGAGAGTGTTGTTAATCACCCCTGCTAAAAAGTATGCAGTAGAATATTATTTCAAAGGCAAAAAGATATGCCTTCTGAAGGCCGGAATATGCCAGTTGACCTCCAATTCCAAGAAAAGTTGATTTAAACTTATCATTTTATTTTTTTTTTTCTTCATGTATTTTAAGATATATCTAACCTTGCCTATTAATGTATCTTATTGAAAATATATATTATTTAATTAAGATAATTTAATATAGATAATCTGTAAAAATTATCATTAATTTTGGTAAAGAAACACTTTAAAAAAAATCCTATTTTCATGTTTACTAAATTACTCAGCAGAAAGTGCAAGCAATACATGTACACACATACAAACCTGCATACAAACCTTCATACATACATACATACATACATGGAATAGACTTGAGTTCAGGGTGATCATAGCTGAGCTCTCTAGACTCTAGACGATTATGAATTGTTTTACATATATTTTTGCATGAAAGCGTCACTGCTCTAGTTAGTTCAGTGATTACTCTGATTATTTATTAAAATTTATTAAAATATTTCCCCCCACCGGGAAACGCTTATCAACAAATTCAGCTCGAGTTCAAGTTTAAGGTTGAACGTAAATTGAAACATTTTTTTTTTTTTTCAAGTAGTCTATATTATTGTTAATTCATACAAATTAATTCGGCGTTTTGCATTTATTGCCTCAGCCAAGCGAATAAATCTAGAGTTACGACACTAGGGAATATAATATAAGCAAATCAAATTTAAAAGAGAACTGCTAACTTCGAATTAACAAATATTAAACACCCTTTATACAATGTTATTTTTTTAATAGTCTAATTAGTAATTCAATTTTATTTCGAAGCCAGTAAAAAGGTATTATTGTGTGTTTATATACTTGGAGGAAATATCACCCATAAAGCTTTCCTCATTTCAAGAAATAGTTTCTAAGTAAAATACCCTTCAAATGAGAAAGGCGTTTGCTTCTCTAATTATATTTCATAACAACAGAACATATTTTTAAAAATATAAATGCAAACCGTTATTTTTAGAAAAAATTCTTTCTAAAATTCAGAAAATTGTTATGAGATTTGCTGTCCCGGCAGCTGTATAGAGTTCAAATCGTCGTAAAATCGTAGTTATTTTATCAATTAAAAGTTTCATAGCTTATAAGCAACTTAAAATATTTATATGCGTGATTTAATAACAATAATGCTTATAAATAATATTAGTATAATAACAGAATTTCTATAATTAAGAAAAGAAATACCCCGAATTTTAGAAAGTCACCTTAAGCGTCAAAAGATTTCTAAGTGTAAGTATTTTAAATACTTAATAATTTATGCCTCCTAAGGTTCATTTATTAAGAAATAATATTTTATAGAGCGTTACACATTTAATGCTACAGTTCAAGTACCCTCGTGCAATAATAATAATATAAGTGTATATAAAACAAAAACAAGTCTATGATAAGAATACTTTGTACACATTCGTCTACATATTATTGGGAAATATTTTTGTTTTTTCCGTTGTTTGTTTTGTTTGATTTCGAAATCTGTTATTTTTGAGCTGCTAATCTGCTCACTAGCTGGGTATAAAACGGACTTAAACAGATGCTGCACAATTAGAACATATTTGGAAGTGCTATAGTAAATCCACAAATCAAAATGAAAGTGTTGGTAAGTTTCTTCTAGAGTTTTCCAAATTAAATGTCGGACTCATTTCCAGTAATATTTATTCGCTTCACAGATCGTCTTATTTGCTCTGATTGCCATTGCATTGGCTAGTGGAGGTTATAATGCACAGCAAGGACATGGTGGACATGGCCAGGCTGGATTTGGCCAAGGTGGACATGGCCAGGCTGGATTTGGCCAAGGTGGACATGGCCAGGCTGGACATGGCCAGGCTGGACTTGGCGGACATGGATCGCACGGCCAATCTGGATTTGGCCAGGGTGGACATGGCCATGCTGGACTTCACGATGGTGGACGTGGCCATGGTGCACATGGTGGACAAGGTGGCCATGGTAGCCATGGTGGCCGCGGTGGCCACTATTAGCCTATTTAAATCAATAAAGATAGGAAGTTTTTGAGTCCAACCCCAACAATTTGAATTATTCTTAATTTTTCTAAAGTTTGTGAAGACAATCTATGGAATTCCTGGTTGCGAGTAGAAAGCTGCGATTAGTCTGATCTTGGATTTGGATAGACACATAATATTGGAGTGCAGCTGTCACTTGAAGAAGTAAGAGACATAAAGCAACTTGGATCGTATTTCAACTGATGAGTATTTCGAGACGTTTGCTAAATTTTATATATATAATTTCTCCCTGGCACCATTATGATTGGCAACTTTTAGTTATTGGTATATTTTTTTTAATGTGCAACTAAACCACACACACATACACGCACACTCAAAGTAAGTGTGATTTTATTATCTGGCATATGAAATAAAGCTTTACGTTTAGCGATGCTTTCAGGGTTATCAGGGAATATGTTAAACAAAATACTTCAGCATTGCACCACTATATTGTATAGTTGTCACAGAAATGATTCAACGAAAGAATGTCGAATATTAAACAGCCTTGTCATGTTCTTCTTTTATGAGTCTCATATTAATCGGTATTATATAAATAACTTAGGGACGTCAAAGAAGATATCCACATATTTCTTTAGTCTGGAGTTCGTGATATTATTGCGTGATTTGTTAAATCGTAAGAGGTAAATTTTATTTATATTTTTGCTCTCAATTTTCAACTTTTGTGTGTGTGGTTATATTGTATGAATTTTTTCAGCCACCAAATTAAAACTCTTCTTTCGACCGATTGCTACTATATGGCAAAAACAAAATGAATTATTAAAATTAAAAAATATATATAATCAAACCAGACGCCGCTAATGTGGCAGATTAAGAATGTGTATTCGTTATGATGGCGAAGTTGTCTATTTCTTGTAGTCAGGTTCGATTTCTCCAACATCCAACCAAGACAACTATCTAAGTTCACTCAGTACAATTCTTCATACAAAAACACGAGTTTACAAATCAGTAAAATAATGGTGTTTTGTTTTGTGTAGGAAAAGAAATAGAGATAACATATGCATATCTCTAAGCCGCAATACTCTGACAAAATACCAAGATAATAAGTGGAAGCATATGTTGACTTTAGACTACCTACATACTTATGTACAGCAATGTAAAACTGAGAAAGGTCATAAGAGCATATCAGTACATAAGCCAATCCGTCCTATCTCCTCTTGCCTATTTTCTTAGAAACTTGAGAGCAGACGCAGGTATAAGGCAAAAATGATATTCAAATGCATACATATGTGTATCACATATGTCGTCGCGGATAAGCCGGCCCTCAAATGCACTTAAGTACGATCCTCTTGGGTTTTTATGGATGTGTCTGGGTAATTTATGTTTATGACTTTTCTTGTGCCTCCTTCAGTACCTCCAGCAGCGCCGATTTTCTGCTTTAAAAGCCGAGTGCACAGCGGATTTGAGTTCATAGTTGAGAAAGCATTCGATATGAAATTGTTTGTGAGTATTCTTGTTCTGCAGAGGCTCTCGGTCTCTGTAAGAGGCTAGTTGTAAACTATTTAAATATTATTTCTTGTTCATTTTGACAGATTATATTATTTGCGCTGTTTGCGGCTGCTTTTGCATTGCCCCAATTTGGTAACGGATTTGGGCGTGCCAGTGGTGGAGGCGGCGGTGGCAGTGGTAATCGTGGTGGTAATCGAGGTGGTGGCAGCAATCATCATCACAACCCCCATCACAACCCCCATCACAATCCCCATCACAATCCACATCACAATCCTCATCACAATCCTCATCACCATTAGGAGTGGTGCTGCATCAAGACATCCAGAACTTTATATGTTCCAATACGGTATTAATAAATGCATTAAATACTGTTTCATCAAAACTTCAAGTTGTTTTATTAGTTGGCAAATAATTATTTTGTTCTTTCCCCCAAGCCTTTTGTATCTTTTTGTGTCTGCTTTTGCATGCATTGCTTATGTGAGCAGAGAAAATATCCCATTACGAATTCGATTTGTAGGTGGTATTGCTTCGAACCCACATTACTTTTCCATAAGCATACCCCGTAATGCAGAAAGTATGCATTGCCTTACAAGCCCTTGTGTGAGGGATTGTAATCGGAATTCTATACGACTTTATATACCAAGATAGACTATTGTAATGGAGTTGCATTACGGAAAAATTCGTAGCTTGTATTTATGAAATATAGTTATATATATTGTATATTTTGTTGTTGAAGATTTCGCGAAGAAAAGTTTATGCTTGACTTAGAAGCTCCAGCATGAATTCCATTGTGTGCATACAGAAGGAATTCGGTAATTCACTATTTCGCTGCTGGGTAGTTCGCTGCTGGGATGTCTCTTTCCTATCTCCAACACGTTGATGTTGAGCGAGAATTTGCTCTTTTAAAAGTAGACACTCTCTCACTTGGGAGCAGCACTAACCAGACAGAAACCTTATTTTGTTTGTCTCGCTTTCGCTTGAGCGGCTGCCGTAAGTGTGTTAATCAATTTTAATTTCACAGTGTATTTTAGACAACAACTAAGGGAGATTGAAGTTCAAACTAAATACTAAACCCAGCAGCTAACTAGTGAACGACCTCTCATTATCGAATGTGTTGTGTTTGCTGGAGCTTCTAAATGGAGAGAGATAGAAAGAGGGAGAAAGAGAGAGAGAGAGAGAGAGAGACAGACAGAGAGAGAGATAGAGAGACAGAGAGAGACAGAGAGAGAGATAGACAGACAGAGAGAGAGACAGACACAGAACGAGAGCGAGAGAGAGAGAGAGAGACAGACACAGAGAGAGAAATAGTACTGGGATACAGCAGCGCTAAATTCAAAGTTTTATTTCATTTCCCGGACAATGAAGTCCCGCGCACATTGTGTGTGTGAGACTTAAAAAACTATACTAATTACTGAAAGTAGCCAATCTCAAATGTATGCAGAAGATGCTTATATGTATACTTTATGGAAGTTTAATTGTTTTTTGCAAATGGCCCACAATAATTGCGAAAAGTGAACGACTGACAAAATACATGCTTGTTGTACAAAGGGGAAGCTGATTACAGTATCCACATCAGAGCTTAGTTAACGGCGCCGGGGGGCGGTGGGGGTTGTCCGGCACACCATGGCGAACATGACGGTATGGTCGTATTTCCTACGGGAATTGAATTCGCAGCGGCAAACAGCAGCGATAGCAACGCAAGCTGTGAAGTTGAGGAGATGTATGTGTGACTAAAGGCTTTCCAGCTTTGCTCTATAAACTTACGCAGTACTTAACGTTCATTTTGACTGACGATCGTTGTTGATGTTCTGAATCTTGTAGGCAAACTCGGCTGTCTTATATTCTGTGACGAGAACTCGGCTGTCTTATATACTCGGATGAGAGCTGTATTTTGTTATGCTAATCATCGGGTTTTAGCCCGTTTAACCCGTTTAACCAGTATGTGTAATCCAAACTGTTTTAATTATTGATTTATCAAATATATTGGTTCTTATACATTTGTATATGTATATTCTAATTCACACTTATATATACACATATAGGCACGAAGTGTTGTCTATAAATATTCACTTCAACTTAGAATTACAAATATTAAAGTATCATTAAGCTGTAATATAAAAATCAAGCAGAAGTGCAGAGTGCAAAGTCGTCTATAGCCGATGAATTCAGTTCCACATTTGAATTTCGAAATTGTTTATTTTGTGTGTGTTGCTATTTCGCAAGGTCAAATTCCAGATGATAGGCCACGTGTGTCTGTATGTATATATATATATATATATATATATATATATACATTTATGTGTATATGCAATCGCTGTTCGACGCTGTTTTTGGAGGGTTTTGTTTTTCGTTTTCGTTTACTGCTCAATTCTTAAATGTCTACACTATCTGACCCAATAATCGGACAACTTAATTGCAATTGCATTCGTAAAATATTTCTGCACACTTTTCCAGTCGATTTGTTGCCTTTTGTTTGCATTCCACGGGAGTTTCGGTTACCTTTTGACTGGCAGTTAGTTTTAGTTAGCGTTGCGAATTCGCTACCTGAAAAACAAACCCAATAAACCAATGCATGTAAATGAGCTATGGACTTGAGGATAGCTGTGTTTGAGTGCATGTGATAAGAGTTTCATTTTTAGAGCTGAAATGTTTACTTATCAGAGTGCACTTGCTTTCGTACAGAAAGCTGAAGTTAAAGCTAAAGCTAAAGGTTAACTAGAAATTATCATAAAATAATTATAATTCGTAAGTTTGTTGTTTTTTAATTTGTTTAACAGTTCAGCTATCATTTATTTAACAATTATGGATTGATATGAATAAACTATATGGTAAAGCCAAAAAATCGGATTTAAAGTGTTTTGCTTTCGAGATGAAAAAACTTGCACTTTAGTGCTAGTATAAATAAATAGAAAGTATTGATTAAGAAAATAAATTAATCTTAAGCGACTTGAGCTGGGATTAACTCTACTCCTGTATGAATTGTAATCCTTTGCATCGATAGCTCAACCCAAAAAAAAAAAAATATATATATATGACGTACTCGAGTAGAGCACACATTTCCCATTTGTGTGCGCTGGCAAAAATCGGTCAAGTAAAGAAAAACCGGAAATTTATTTGTGCCGCACATTGCAAGTGGTAAATAAGAGAGCAGCAGCAACTGCTTAAGTGGCAGTTTCTTTCGGGCATATCCCAAATGGCCATTTCGGAGTCTATGCCCTTGCCACTTTTAGTAGTGCCTTGCTTCCTTCCATCAGTTGCCTCAAAATGCAGCCAAGTGCAAAGGCCACCTGGCAGCATCTCTTGTCCAAATTGTTGTTGTCGTTGTAGTTGTTGTTGTCGCTATTGTTTTTGCCGGCGTATCTGTGGGCTTCCGGTTCGTCACGCACACATTCATATACACATACACACACACACACACACACACACACACACAGCTACACACATGGTGGCACGCCCTCTTGCCACAACTTTATTGTGGGCGGAGAACAATGTGCAGCCATTGAGCGTAAATGTGCCAAATAATGACTTGCAGGCGAGTGCAATTTATATGATAAGCAACAAAAATAAATTGCAGCCAATTCATTTTACTTAAATGCAGCAAATGCAACAACAACAGCAACAAAAACTACACTCCACAATGAGCTGCAGTTGCAGCGTTGGCAACTTTTACACACACACAAAATACACAAAAACACTGACACACCAACACACTTTAGGTACCAAGTTGTATATCATTTGAAAATTTTGCGCTTACCTGGCAACTCGGCTGATTTAGTTGAGGTTGCCTAATGAACACCGGTCCGATGACAAATGCAAAAGCAAACGATTTGAATTTGATTTACTGCCGATTTGCCCAGTGAGACTGTGGACACATTTATTGCATACTTTTAGGCGGCTTGCTTATATTAGCATTAGCTTAATCAATTCCATGTTTAAAACCTGAACCCATTCAAACTGGGTATAATTGTTTTGTGCAAACGTTAGTTAGGATCTCTTGATCAGGATCAGCATCCGAGTCTATATAACCATGTGCGCCTGTCTGACTATAATAGCTACAAATTTGGAATATAGATTCTCGAATACCTTGTGCGACTCAACTTAATTTAATTTCATATAAAACGACTATTGCTTTGCGAGAATCGATAAATTATCGATTTCCCATAGCAATAAAATACATAATTTTTTAAAGGAGAACCTTTCTTTTGATATTTAATACACTTGACAAATTTTATCAATATCGGATAAAAAACACCCTGCTAAAAGGGAAATTTGGTAATAAAACTATTATAATATATTTAATAGCTGATCCAAGGTATCTCGTAGCAAACTCAGTCGACTGCAGCATTCTTACTTGTTTACTTAAAATCAGTCTAGGGCAGTTGTACGGATTATTAACTCTTATGCTTTTATCTATTTATAACTTTTTGCTAGATAATTGTAACTTAACAAAGACAGAAAATTGTGTTACCTCATTTTGTAATTTTATTTGTTTTACGTTTACACCAAAATGTCTGGCAATGCTTGGCAAGAAGGCTGCCATTGAAATTTTGGCGGAAAGGTGTTGCCAGATGTGTTTGCTTAGGAGTTCACAGAAGAGCGAAATAGTTCAGGCAACTATCGGCGACAGGCTTGCCAGTGAGTGGAAATGTTGCTAAATAAATTAAAATTGCAAAAATAAAAAAATACAGTTCGAATTTCTGCTGCTGATGGATGATTATTATTTTATTTAGATGTTGTTGTAACCATAGAGTAAGAATATCTGACACATATAAATATTAGAATGTAAAATTAATGAAATGCTACCAACATATGAATGCATTGCTTTTGGAGATCTTCATGTCGAATATTCTGTGACTATTAATTAAATTCATATTCTGTGTTTATTTTTGATATTCATGTATATTCATATTCATGGACCATCACAACTATATCTGTTTTCATTCTTCTACTTCCAATTTGGATGATATACTTATGCTGCATTTTCTTCATTTATGAATTTAGTTAAGTCATACAAAGCAATATCTATTTTCATGAATTTAAATCATTAACATATATTTATGACTTGAATATCCTTCTAGTCCCACTGCAGACCATCAAAAAAAACAAAAAATGGTTTCCGCTTGTTGTCTTCTATTTCAAACATAAGAAATTGGACGACATCTCCTCATCTCAAACTATGGCAAACTGAAGAGCAGCGTTCCTCGTTGATGACATGCAAATTGAAACCTTTTCCATTTTTTTTTCTGTACGGTGAAGTACGCAACAAGCTCTCTAATGCTTTTATGGACTTCACCTGTGTGTCTCTGGGCCGCACTTCAATTACCGTGCTGCGGGCCTGGCTTGTGTTGCTAATGAGCCGACGGGTTTAGCTAATTGGGCATGGCCGATGCTTCAAACGAAATTAATGTGAAAATTGATGCCGTCATCTCGACGCTTGCAGACCCTAATCGCCAAATTTTTCTATGGACAGACAGAGTTAGAGGATGACTCTAAAAGAGAGCTAACGGATGCCAGGACATGGGCGATGGGTTGGAAATTCCATTGCATGCAATAAATATGTCGCAGTGGATGCGATCTCCATATGCACACTCCAAATGCACACTTTTGTGTGTGTGGGTGTAGAATAGAACAAAGTCAGTTGTCCATACCCTATTCATATGCAAAATTAATGCCGACCTCTGCGGAGTCTCTCCAGCGTCGCAACTATAGACTGCGCCTGGACGGGCATTCCTGGTGCTGCATCTGCGACTGCACCTGGGAGTAGATGAGGACCAAAGGCATAAAAAAAAATGAAAAACACTACACACACATGGTGAATACAGTAAAAAAAAAAATCTCCCAAATATTGGAGCAATGCCAAGCATTTGGCGACTCACTTTATTATTCAAAAATTGCATATCTAAATCAGAATGTTTCTGTCTTTCTACAATACAGGGTTTTTTCTGACTACATTTTCTTAATATTATTTTGTACTATTTTAGACTTTCTTTCGAGTTTGTTTCAGAATTTTAAGAATAAAGAAAATACATTATTATTATAATTTTTAAATAATTTGGACTCTCGATTTAGACTCTCAAGTAAACAGATATGCCCACATCAATGGCCTGAAAAGAGCAACACATCCGTTGACCTGACAGCAAACACCTCCCCATCCCTTTGCAGCAGTTCAAACTCCCTCCACTTTGTGTGCACCGCGACTCCTTCGGAATGTCCTTCATTGTTGAAAGCTGAACCTTGGGAGCAATCAGTGGATTATACGCTGCTTTACAAGAGATGTGCTGCTGGCAATTGGACGTCACAGCACTACATAACCGAGCCCATCCCCACAACACCACCAGCCCACCTCCCCCCTGCCCCCACCACCAGCAATTCTCTCTTGCTCTCGGTCTCTATCTTTTGCCACCTTCCCCGAGAGAAGGGGTGGGGAACTAGCACTGTTTCGCGTTGTATGCAACACTTTTTTGCATTCATTGTTCGTTAAGAGTTAGTATATGTGTGAGTGTGTGTCTTTGTGTGTGTGTGTGTGTGTTTGCGTGCGTTAAAACATAAATTTAACTGCAAGCGCATGGAGCGTGTGACAAGGCCACAGGAATTCAAAACAAAAGTTGCAACAAATACCAAACACGCCATAAAGACAACAACAGCAACAACAGCATAGACACAAATTGCAGGATGGCTACTCTCTCTCTCTCTCTCTCCATCTCCCTCTGTATCCCTCTCTCTCATTCTCTCTCTTTGTTTTTCTTTGTCTCTCGCTGTGTAACTCGCTGCACCCACCCGCTGTTCTTTCACTGTGTGTGTGCGTGTGTGTGTGTGTGGTGAAAAGAATGACAGGAAACCGGATGTGAGTGCATGCCTTTTGTGCATGCAACAAATTATTCAGTTGACATGCAGGATGTGTGCTTTGTTGTTGTTGCTGCTGGTTGCCCCATGCCCTTGGTTGCCTCTCTT